TGACTTCATTTATTCCCCCCCCCCAAAAGTTTTGATGAAATGTTTCCGTGGAATGTGAATAGTTACACAATGATATTTGGTCATTGATTTGCATTTAGTTTTAGATCTTCTAGAGCAGGGGTGGGGCACCTTTTCTCTGCCAAGGGCCATTTGGATATTTGTAACATCAATTGCAGACCATACAAAATTATCAACTTAAAAGTTATCCTGCTGTGATTGGTCAAACATTTATATACTCACCCCTAATGCCTTGGCAGGGCCAGACCGAATGATTTCCAAGGCCTTTTATGGCCCTCGGGCGAGATGTTCCCCACCCCTGATCTAGAATGTTGAACGTTCCCTGGGCTTACGTATATGTCCAATGTGCTAGTTCTGTATCATAACGGAGCTGGGAGACATGAATCTGATGTAAACACCATTTTTTATCCTTCCTCCAAGGATGTTATAAGTTAGATAATAAGTTATAGATTAAAGAAAAAAAATCTCTTCATTTTCCTGGATTTTCAGTTGTATAGGAGACACTTTATCCTTTAGTTATACAGTATTTCTACCGTAGAGGAAGTACAGCCCTGTGATCAACCTCCTCGACTCCCCAATGGGAAAGTTGCCAACACACCTAAAGGGGAATATGGACACGGTGAGGTGGTGGAGTATGTGTGCAACCCCAGGTTCCTGATGAAGGGTGCGAGGAAAATTCAGTGCGTTGATGGAGAGTGGACACCCTTGCCCGTGTGTGTTGGTAATGTATCCAAAATTTCAGCAGTGTTTCTGTTCATATCAAGACCTCACTTGCATTTTAAAGTTGAATGTTTGTTTGTGGGATTTTCACAGAGGAGAACAGTACATGTGGAGACGTACCTGAGCTGGACCACGGCGAGGTTGTGTCCCCAACACGGCCCTCCTATTACCATGGAGAGTCAGTAGAGTTCACTTGTGGAGAAGGATTTACAATGATTGGTGACAGCTCAGTTACATGTATTAGGGGAACGTGGACCCAACCACCTCAGTGCATTGGTGAGAAGACACTTCTATAATTGATATTTAATAACATTGGATATTTTTTTATTGTGAAACTACATGCAACCATATTTTTGAAATTTAGAGATAGTCTTGAAAATGTCAGGTTGCAAATTATAAAGAATCAAACATTTGTTTTTTATAGTTCAACGGCATCTACAGAGGAAAAATAGAAACTAGCAATAGAATTTTATTTGTCCATAATATTGACATTGCTTGTACCTATGAAGTTAAATTTTTCTTAAAGATACATGATTGAAATTTTCTCCTCTAATGTTTATTTTGTACTGACCTAGAATCTTGCTTTTCACTTCATCAAGATATTTCTTTTCCCTGAATATAAATAATTCTTTCAGAAAACAAGCATATTTAGACAAATCACAACCATCACACCCCATTTTGACTACAAATCTTCCTTCAGTTCTCATCTCAAAGAAGATGACTCATTTTGTGTCCCTCACCACTCTGGACCCGTACAAAAAATAAGATTAATTCTCAAGCTTCTTGTCTGTTTTAAATTAATCTTCTTTATTTTAGTTTTGTTTTCAAGGTTACATTGCAAAATCATAACTTTACTTTGGCCAATTACATGACTTTTCTTTGTTCTGTTCATCCTCACTTGACTCTCATCATTTACAAATTATTAACAAATACTACCTAAGACCTACACTGATAGGTCTTATCAAATTCAAAACGGATTGCCACCTGCATTGCCTTTTTGAAATATGTAACTGTGTATGAAAACTCCATAGTCCATGTCTAAAACATACTGAAGCCAGCATAAATGTATTATTATGGCATAATATTATTATATTATAAGATGACCTGGTATATAAAATAGCTTCTCAAAGATCCTAAGAATATATATGCAAAATAGGTTATGACCTAAACAACCAATTTCTTATTCTGATTTAAAGATATGCTGAAATATTCACATTCTATACCCTACAACTTAGATCAACCTTTCTTGGTCTTGTAGGTTAAATTTATTGAAAAATGTATAATATAACTAGAAAATTCACATAGTCTATTTCCACGGATAATTTTTTTCTTTTAACGCTTTAAGGTTGTAATAATTCAGAGATGTTTGGGATCAAGAAAAGTGGATGTGAAAATTTGCAGATTTCAAATGGGATCATATTTAGTCATGTATGACTCTTTCCTATGTAGATCATACAAAAGGTGAATCCCAATGTCCTTGTAATCCCCAAAGGGCAACATGGCTTTAGGATGACTATTCTCTCTGAAATTTCAATACTGGACATAGGACTGTATGTCCAAACATTGTAGCCCACCTCATGCAACACGATCAGGAATAACTTTACTGGTAGAATTTATGGACCTAACGTCCTATTTCATTAGAGTTTGGACTCTATAGTTGTTGTGTTGGGTTTTTCTTTTTATTATATTAGTTCCTTGGATTTTCATAATTAGTGTTTTCAATGGAATATTTTCATTTTATAGCAACAGTTGAACTCAAGATATGTAAATTATCAAGGGCAACTGCTTATGAGATAAACTTGTCAGATAAGATTGACTATGAGCATAATCAGACAATCAGTTACACTTGTGGGAGGAAGTCAGAGCAGAAACGCTCAGTCTGCGTGCACGGAAAGTGGGAGCCCGAGGTGACCTGCACAGGTGAGCTCTTGTTTAGAACATTTCCAAACGGTGGATTTCCTTCCTGCCTTGTACAAGGTGTCTCTTTGTGTCTTAATATTTTCTTATAAAGTCTGTATTATGACAATAATGTTGTAGCTGGAAAGTAATTTAGAAAATAACCAAAACACTGTTTCTGAATAGTAATTGCACCATGTGCATTGGTCAGCTATCAACAAACCACCCGGCAGTGCGGTGGCTTTAAAGTCACATTGGGCAGTGGGTGTGCGCATTCCTATTGGGGTCCCATTGCTACCAAGTTCTTACCTTACAGATGTGCCTATGCCTGTAACGCGTGTGTTTATCTAAGCATCTATGGGTGTGCGCTCTACCTATGTCTGCATCCCTCTACCTCTGTAGGAATCTACCCATCTAGTCATCTGTCTTTGCTCATTTATATCTGTCTGGCAAACACTGAGTCTCATTGCCACCACCAATTCCAATAACACAGGGTTTATTCACTTTTCATATCAGTATTGCTCTTCTTTAATTGAGGGCACCTTGACCCACTCACCTCAATATTTTTACCAATTTCCATGGGTCTAAATATATAGAAAGCATTTTACATAAGCTAAGCTACCCAAGATTGATCCCAGAAGGAATAAAGGAAAGAAACA